ATCATAGGTGGTCTTTACAAGCTTGACGATTTTGTCAGGTATTCCGTAATGCTGCATGAGTTTCCACATAGTTTCCCTGTCCACACTGCCAAATGCCTTTTCATAATCAATGAAGTTGACCACTAGTGGTGAATTCCATTCAAGCGATTGCTCAACAATGACGCGCAGGGTAGCGATCTGGTCCACACATGATCGGTTCTTGCGGAATCCTGACTGGTTTCCTCTGAGCTTCTCATATGTTGCCAGCTTGATTCTCTCCAGGAGTATCCTGTTATAGACTTTCCCAGGTATGGACCACGTCAGTGTTATGCCTCTGTAGTTGTTACAATTTCTGAGGTCTCCCTTCTTTGGCAGCTTGATTAGGTGGCCTTCCTTCCAGTCTGACGGTATTTCCTCTTCTTGCCAAACCTTTTCGAATAGAGCATAGAGAATTTCCACTGATGTGTCTTTGTCTGCCTTAAGGGCTTCCGGTGGTATATGGTCCGAACCAGCTGCCATGTGGGACTTCAGTGCTGTTATAGCTGCAGCAATATTTCTCCTCTCGAAGGTGGTTCCGTAGCGATTGGGAGGTGATTTCGGGCTGGGAGAATTTCTGGTTGGTTTTCTGGAGGTGGTCTGTTCAATAGTTGGTTCTCTCCATCAGTTCAGATGTCCCTCTGAGTTGAAGAATAAGTCTTTCCCTCTTTGTCTTTCACTGGTAGAGTGGGCTTGCTGAATCTACCTGAAAGAGTCTTTGTTGTCTGATTACAATCCGCAAGTGCCCGTCTGTTGTTGCTTTCTCTGCCTTTTCGGCCAGGCCATTCAGGTAGGTATTCTTGTCCTTCTTGGTGGAATTCTTTACCTCCCGGTTTACTTCGCTCGGTGTACTCTTGTTGTGCAGCGAGTTTCTCAGTTAGGGTACGACTGTTGTTGCCTTGGGCCTTCAGCTCTTTTCTTCTTTTGATTTTGTCTAGAGAGTCCTATGAAATCCATTCATTCCTGGTGTTGAATTTGGGTCCTAGGATGCTATGGCGGGTTGCATTTACTGCCTCTTTTATCTTGTTCCAGTGTTCGTTTACTTCACATTCATCCAGATCTTGAAGGGCTTTAAATGTGTTCTTCAGTTCCAACTTGAATTCATTCTTCTTTACTGGATCTTTCAGAAGATTCTCCATTGAGAGATATTTAAAACGGGAAAATTATGAATTCCTAAGGTTGAGACATAGGCAAAGCAGTCCGCTTGTCCGGTATTCTTCAATCTTACCATGACCTCGGATCCTTCCTACTATCCCTTTCCTTGAGTTCTTTTTTTAGTTCCAAATGAGGCCATGATGATTCATAGACCGTGCGCTTCCCAGCCCCTTAATGTCTTTTGCGCTATTTTGGATATGATCATCCCTACTCCTTCCCTGTGTGGTCCATCACGTTCATTTCCTAAAATGAAAAGCTCCCCCTTTTTCATTCGCTTCTGTCCAGACTGGTTCAAGTGGGTCTCGCTGATTCCCAGTATGTGTAGGTGGTATCAGTGCATTTCTTGGAGGACCTGTGCAGTTTTTCCAGCCTCATAAAGGGTCCTTATAACGTTCCACGATCCAATCCGGAGAGACTTGGACTTGGATGATGGTGGAGGCTTCTGCCCAGCAGCTTCCTTTCGGCTTTCACTACTTCGCATCATAAACTCTCTGTTCGGAGAATATCCACGACCAGCCGAGCAGAGATAATGGTTTTTGCGTGTATGTGTTTCTGTAACATGTTCTTTTTACGAGGGAGGTTGTTATATACAAGCCTCGTGACTCAACCCCCGACCTGGAGGGAGGATGACTCTGTTTCGGGAGTCACTTGTACCTGGTTTCGCCATTTAGTCGCCTCGTACGACACGCTAGCACCACGTCAGTCCTATTGTTTTCAATGCCGAGACTGCTCGGCTACACTGCCAATATAATAGGCCCATATTCATGTTTTCTTGCATGATTTATTGTGGTGCATTTGGTTGTTTTTGGTTGTGGCAGGGGGTTAGGCCTAGCCTATTGATTGTATTGTTTGGCTGAAAGTGTGAGAGTGAGTAAAGTGTGAGTCGGTGTTCAGTTGTATTGTTTGCAAGTTGATAAAAGTCTGAGTTACTACTGGTGGGATTTTTAGAGGAGAGAGTTGTATCAAGGCAGAGGAGGCCTGCTGAAAGTATAGGTTGTGAAAAAGGCTAGTTAATTAGAGCCTCGGTTCAGTTGTGCGTGAAGTGTGAGATTCCAATCCGACGCATCGGGGCCCCAAAGCTGCTGAAAGAATCACAACACAGAGCAGAGGAACAGGTTTGGCTAATTCCTGTTATAGTAGCATGTGACAGAAGGTTAGTTGTGTTAAATCTTTGTTTTGTGTTCCAAGTAACAACATTTATAAATTCAGCTGAATTTTTCTAAGTTTGAGTAAATTTGAGCTTTGATAACTTTTAAGTTAAATTTATAGTCCGGTTGTTAATGAATTAAGAAGTAATTTCATTGTTTTTTACAGCTCATTATGATTCAAATAAAGAAAATTAATCATCTATTTTTCAACTCTTTGAATTGTTTCTCTGGTTATTTACATATATATGTATTATGTATTTTTAGTAAGAAAACAAGCAAACAATCGAGAGTAAGCTAACTAAATCCATGGTTGATTTTCAAGTTTTCAAATTTGATCTAGGCCTAGGCTAGTGTCGACAAAAAATGTCATTCGCAGTTTGAAAAGACAAGAAAAGAAGACAGCACGACGTAGGCCTACGAAGAAAAAATGATTTCGTTGGAATTGGAAAGAGAAATTCACACTTTCGGACAAATCTGGCATTCTCATTCATTCGCAAAGACCAGTTCCCGCGAGAATTTATCTGTGTCCAGGTTTGGTTTCGTATCGCGGGTTGTGTTGCAGTCAGGCGCTCAGTTACGACATCTTTATTTTAGTATTTTCTTTTTGAAAATATCAGAGTGTTCTCAGTTGTAAGAAATAAAGTAATACAATTAGACACGCACTTTAGATACTAGAAACAAATTGGGATTGGGCTCTTTTTTGTTCGACGTGACAAAGATCAATGGATATTCTTGCTGTCGACTTGCAGCACAGAATTCTACACTTACTTGCAGTCTCTTCAAAATCTGGGGACAAAAACAAAGCTAGATTCTATTTTTTGTGCAACCATCGCACATCCATCCGCTAATGGTCCGCTATCCACGATTACGATCCGTTGGTTGACTGACCCTGGGCAGCTAGGCCTTAGTAACTGCGCCAATTTATCATCGTTCTTTGCCTTTGCTGCACAAGTCTTTTGTCTTTTGCAGTATTTTTTAGAAGCATAAAGTTATTTTGTCATATTTATTTTGCGTTGAAGGAGCCAACGGAATTATGGAAGAAGAACGGAATAACACTCGTCGATGTGGGCAAATTGGAGAAGGAGACGAAGACGAACTGTCAATGGTTGATGTTTTGAATGAGCAGGCTCGTCTCCAAGCAGATGCGAACGCCGTGTTGGGAGGCAGTGATGAGCACAATTGTACCTATCCATCGGTGAGTTAAATTTTTCGTAAGTTGTATATAGAATCTAGATCTGGATCTAGATCTAGACCGTTACATGCCACTTCCGTCTGTTATGATCCCAGGTTCCCGCCCAAGACTAGAGCAGCTAGACTTAGATCTAGAGTCTACTACTAAGAGTCTAGATCTAGATCTAGATCTAGATATCTAGATCTACTTTTGACTTGTGGGCGCTTTTTCGGTAGTTCCCTCCCCGCAATTGTTATTCGCCGGTTTTGGCCCCAAGAGTAGGGGGGTTTCAGGTTACCACAATTTAATGTTTGGCTATTGTTAGGAGACCGTACGTCGCCCAATAATAGCCATAGCGCTTGGCTCTAGGGGACCGTACGCCCCCATAGTGTTTGTTGGCGCTAGGGGACCGTACGCCCTACCTGCGCTA